TGAGTTGCCAGGGCTCACGTATCGCTTCAACACAGCATTGAACCCCTCGCTGCGCTGCGAGTCTGTAGAAAAGGGAAGAAGCACTGCATGAAGTAGGCGGGCACCCAGTACATTCGCTTCACCCATAGACTAGCAAGCGTCTCATTGTCTTGGACTTGATGCGTTTCAACCATGGCCATCCAGCTCCTTTCAAACTCCTCGACCGTCAAGCTGTGGTCCACGCATAGCTCGAATGCCTTGTGCAGCTTTGGACGGTCAGCAAAGAACGGTCCTAGGGTCTCCTCAGCCTTCTTTATTATGTGCCACCTGCAGTGCCTGTGCACTGCCAACGGAAAGACCTCCTCTATGCCTGCACGCATGCTAAACCCTGGTCTGTTATTATGTTCATCGGAGCAAGTCCATCCATGCACTCCAAGAAGGCCTTGAACAACCAGACGTACCCATCCGTGTCTTCGTTCCGAACGAGCCCGCAGCCGAACTGCAACGACTGATTGTGGTTATTTATTCCTATGAACGGAGCGCATGGCATCTTGTACATATTGGTGAGGTACGCCGCGTCGAATGAAATGCAATCTCGGAAATGTTTGTAGGCTCTCCTTGCAGCACCATCCACCCAATACATGTTCCTGACACGGTCCTCATCGTCCAACCTTATCATGTAGAAGAAATCTGGATCTTCCTTTGCTTTCTCATCAAAGTAGGCAATTGTAGCCTCTATGTCAGCCAGCCTGCTCTCTCTACGGTACTTGGCCTGTAGGTTTGTGACGTCAGCTGGTATGTAGGGCATGCTACTCATTTTCCCCTTTTTGCTGTGGATGAGTGATAGTATCTGGACCATTCTCGATGGACCGACGTTACAGTCATGTAGTAGCTTTATGAATTGCCTTTCGACTGGGGTGAATCCTCTGTGGGCGGTCAGAAATTTGACCAGGTCGAACTTCTTTATGAGATTGTGGTTGTGCTCGTCAAAATATTTAGTGACCACATACTGTGTTCCATCTACGTTTAGCTTACACCGGATAGGGCATCCCGTCTTGAGAATGATTCCTCTTTTTCGTTCTGGAACGACAGGCGCAACACCTTTCACCTTCTTGTTCCTCCGTGCCTTGTGGCACCTCATCTCACCTCTGCTATACTCATTAGTTTTCTTAATTTTCCTATGGTACTCGGTGTTGACCGCAAATCCATGGAACTTTGCATATGTCTGGTAGTATTCCTTTGCTTCCTCGAACGATTCAAATCTCTGCCCAATGTACGGTGGCTGAGGAACCACGATCTCTGATTGCCCACCATCTTCATCACCTTCTTCCTCGTCGTCACTTTCATCATTCACTTCAGTATCAGTGGCAGTTCCTTCTACCTGAGTGTTGGCAGTGATTGTGTTCAAAGGGGTGTTTGTCTGTATTGCTAGATTGATTGCCATTCCCGACTGTGACTCAAAATTGTCTGCGGCATGAGTGTCTGCTGGCTGGTGGAACGCGTCTTCCGTGCGCTCAGAGCTCCCCGCAGTAGATGTCCCTGCGCTGCTGTTAACTGTAGTTGTAGGCCCTGTAATAGAAAACAGGTACGAGATTTAAGTTTTCTGTTTGAATAACATGTGTATCGCAACGGATCACACCATCTACGAGTGATTTTGCACGACATCATTTTTTCAAACAGCAAGCCGTGAGTCTGCGCGTGGGCATGCACGGCAGCTATAGCTGTCTAGTGATGGCAGCTATTGTTCAACAAACATGGCAACTATTTTGTTTTTGCATGCAAATAACTTCAAATATCAAAGGTACTGTTGTTTTCGTGGTTCAGATTTTTTTTCCCTTACCTTGGTGTGTTGCATTCGACCTTCCTGTGTGGCCTGTGACACCAAAATGACGCCCCCCACCTGTAATTTGTGAAGCTTGCCACGAGACGTTTGCCGGGGTACCACCAGTGTAATAACCTGTGTGCATAGTAGTGGTTGGTCAAATTCATGGCAACTGTATTTTGTGCTAGCACGGCAACTGCAGTTGCCCCTGATGTGGCAACTGCAGTTTTATTGGCAAGGCAAATGTATTTGCATCGGCATGGCAACCGCAGTTGTTCCTCCATGGCAACTGCAGTGCCATGACATGGCAAATGTAGTTGCACTGGCATGGCAACTGCAGTTGTTCTCCCCTGGTAACTACAGTTGTCCATGGATGGCAACAACAGTTGTGCAGGGATGTCAAATGCAGTTTTCTAATACACGGCAACTGTACATGACCAGTCATGGCAATTGTAGTTGCCAACTATGCTCCTTCTGCTAATTGATCATCCGCAACTTCACCTTTTTTATGGACTGACCTGTGTATGACGTCGATGGCAGGTACATTGGCGGTGCCTGATGCCACGCGCTGCATGAAGGCTCTGCATTTTCACCCCGCGGTAACTCGTGAGTCCTTTTGCTAGTTTTTTTGCATGTTCATTTTTCATGTCCACAGCAGTAGGCGCTCTTTTTGTTGTTTTCGCATTACCTTGATTATCCATACAAGCTAGTTGAAGTTGGCTGCCCGTACATTTGTCAGTGTTAGCGCCTTGTGATTGAACTTGCCACGGGGCCTCCTTAGTTGTGTTTTGGTCATAAGAACCTGCTAAAAAATGCCAGTGTACGACATAAGTAGAATGTCATCTTCATCGTCGCGAAGGCGGCAACTTTTCTCTTGTTTTTGTTAGAAACGCATCATACCTATGCCTGCATACTGTTCTAGTAGTGGCAGCAACGGCCCTGAAGAGATGAGCTGATTGTACTCTGTTGCATCCCAAGGGGCTGTTTCTGGCCTTTGAGAACCCCAATCACCAGCGTCGCCTTCGTGATTCATTCTTTTCCGTGTCTCCCTTCTTTTCCAACGTGTTCTCAATCTCTGCATGAACAAGAAGGCATCAACAATCAACAAGAATTGTATTCTTCTGCTGCTTTGCACACAGAAGATGTGGCTGGCAAACGACGGGTCATAATAGGTGGCAGCCACTGACAACGGAAGGTGGCAACTGTCGTCATACACAAGTGGCAATTAATTTCTTCGAGCCCTCCTCATTCCAAATTTTTGCCCCACGCGCCCTTTCTTTAGTGATTCCTACTCATCCATTTTTCATACCAAACTACTTGCGTCAAATAAACTAGGAAAGTAAGTCAATTTCAAATGTAGCACATGGCAGATCTGGTGTACTCTACCTGGCAATTGCGACTACACACTGAACCATGTAGTGTTCTACCCCTATAGCACAAATCCAGCACAAGATCAGGAGATCTTCAGCCTTAACGATGAGAAGGTTGAGATCGGGAGTTTTTCACCTGGTTTTTGGATGATCGTCTCCGGATGGCTTGGTTGGAGTTTGGGGCTGGGGGGTGGGGAGGGTTGGGGTGTGTTTTTGAGGTGGGAGTGCCCTACGGATCTGCTCCGTTTGCCATGGCAACCAGAGAAGGCCGGCGACGGAGATCAGGGTTCGAGAGGCGCGGGACGATGGCGGCAGACGAGGGAGGGGATGGATCGGAGGCCGGGAACTGGTTGGTCGTGCGGGCAGCGGGTCGGCTTGCCCGGACGGGGCAGTGCGGGCGAGGTTGGCACGGCACGAACGTGCGGGCCGTGAGTTTGTGCGCGCGGACGTGGTCGTGCGGGCCTGTTCCCGTCCATGCCACACGAGGCGTGCGGGCGGGTTCCTGTCGACGCCACACGTGTGACAGTTATTCGGTCCCCAACATTAACAAATAGGCTAAAAAACGCTCAGTGCGTCAAATAACAGGCTAAAAATATGCGGCCCACCGTGCTAAACGGGCCAACGTGCCGGCCCGTTTACTAACTGGGCCGTGCCTGGGCCTGGGGGCGCAGCACGCGGGCCGGCACGGCACGGCCCGTATAGTAATCGTGCCCTGGTGGGCCGTGCTGGGCCAGGCACGATTATGACGGGCCGGGCCATGCCGGGCCGGGCCGGGCCGGCCCGTTTGGCCAGGTATGATCCTCGCGGTGCCTACCTGCATTGAAGAGTTTAAATTCCATTTGCTGGTCTTAGAATAAAAAAAAGTGAGCCAGCCCAGAGGTAGTATCATTACTCACGACACTGGTCTTCTTTTATTCCTCCGCAGCCAGATCCACCACTCTGCTCTCCACGCTCCCCTCCCCCAGATCCCTAAATCCCGCCGCCGCCGCCAGCGCCAGCGCCGCCGGCCATAGCATCCCTTCGCCGTCCTCCCTCGACCCCCAGACGTCGGCTCGCCCTCACCCATGCTCTCGCCCCCGCCCCGACCATAGCAGCAGCAGCTCGCGGCCTCCTAGCGCCGGCTCTACCGCTCCGACCTCAGTGCCGCCGGCCCCGCGAGCCATGGATCTGGCGACGGGGGCCATGGGCAGCCTCCTCCTCAAGCTCGGCGGCCTCCTTACGGACGAGTACAAGCTGCAGGTCGGAGTCAAGGAAGACGTCCAGTACCTCAAGAGAGAGCTGACTAGCATGTACGCCGCCCTCCGCAAGGTCGGGGACGTGCCGCGGGACGAGCTCGACGTGCAGGTCAAGCTCTGGGCCGACGACGTCAGGGACCTCTCATACAGAATGGAGGACGCCGTCGACAAGTTCCTGGTGCGCGTCGAGGGCCCCGGGGCTTCTTCCGCTGCCGCCGACAAACCACACAAGCTCAAACGGCTAATGGAGAAGATGGCCGATCTGTTCACCAAGGGCAGGACTCGCCACCAGATTGCCGACGAGATCAAGGGCATCAAGGCCCGTGTGCAGGAGGCAGCTAACCGGCGTGATAGGTACAAGGTCGATGATGTGGTAGCTAATCCAAGTAGCCTAGCCACGGTTGACCCTCGCCTGATGTCTCTGTATAAAGATCGAAAAGAGCTCGTTGGCATCGATGAGCCGCTGAGCAACCTAACTGAGATGCTGACTGATGGGGATACTGATGTGTCCAGGCAACTTAAGATAGTTTCTATTGTTGGATTCGGAGGTCTTGGCAAGACTAGTCTTGCTAAAGCAGTGTATGATAAGCTCCAATGGCAATTCGATGCAGCGCTTTTGTTCCGGTGGGACTGAAACCTAGCGTGAAGAAACTTCTCAACGACATTCTCTTTGAAATTGACAAGCAAAAGCATCAGGATTCTATTTTATCGTCATGGGACGAAAGGCAGCTCATCGACCAACTCAGAAGATCACTAGCGACCAAGAGGTATGCACCCTATTACTCCAATCCTGTTTTAAAACGAGAAATTTAATTAAACAGAACAAGGGGACGGCCACATGATATCTCTCCGCTGCAACTATCATTTCACTATTTCTTTATTGAATAATGCCTATTTTACATTAGGTGGTTGTCATGCAAATGCATCCCCTTTTTTCCCTGGATTTTAGATGCTTACTTAGGTGCCTTGCCAAATAGTTTCACTAATTACAGTTGTTGCATTTTGTATGCGGGCAGGTACTTCATCGTGATTGATGATATATGGGATACAGAAGCGTGGGAAATAATCAGATGTGCTCTTGTTGATAATAATTGTGCAAGCAGGATAGTCACAACTACTCGTATTCTCGAGGTTGCGACAAAAACCGGTGAAGTATACAAGCTAAAACCACTTTCTCATGATTTAGCCGAGGAACTATTTCATACAAGATTGTTTGGTGGCAAAAACAAAGGCGCTTGTCATCAGCCAGCAGAGGTATACGAGAAAATGTTGCATAAATGTGGTGGTGCACCGTTGGCTATAATCACAATGGCTAGCTTGCTTGTTGGTAAACCAGTGGAGTTTTGGTCTAAGGTGTACAACTCAATTGGTTTTGGAAATGAAGATAACAAAGATGCCAACAACACGAGGAAGATACTTTTATTTAGCTACTATGATCTGCCTTGCTATCTAAGGACTTGCTTATTGTATATGAGCATATATCCAGAAGAACATCTAATCGAGAAAGATAGTCTGATATGGAAGTGGGTTGCCGAGGGTTTTATTCATGAGGAAGCAGGGGTAGGATTATATGAGATTGGTGAAAGATATTTCAACGAGCTGATAAATAAAAGCATGATACAACCGGTAGATTCCCACCCGTATGATCGCACCATTACAGGTTACTACGACATCATTACGGGTTGCCGTATTCATGATATAGTTCTTGACATGATCTGTCGGTTAGCAAAGGAAGAAAACTTTGTCACTGCATTGTACAATAGTGAGCAACAAGCATATCCAATACATGACAATGTCCGTAGGTTAGCTGTTGGAGACAAAAACTGTCTGGCTAACACATGTATGCCACAAGTAAGGTCATTTAATGTCTTGAGTAGCTCTTCTGAACATGACACTACTTGCCTTGAGCATCTTGGAAAGTTAGTTCACTTGAGGTATCTTGGACTAAGGAATATAAATATCAGTGAGCTCCCAAAGGAAATAGGAGATCTAAAATTCTTACAGATGTTGGAGATGAAGGATTGCAACAAACTACTGAAACTGCCACAGAGTATTGGTCAATTAAGTCAACTCAAGTGCCTGCGTGTTTACGCGGACCGGTTTTCGATGCTGCAATGTCTGGAAGACACAGCACTAGACTGGATCAGAAACCTGACATCTCTGGAAGAGTTATGCTTATTGAACGTCAGTGAGTCCTCAAACTTTGTGAATGATCTCGGAAAGCTGACAGAGTTGAGGAAGCTTTGCATTGTATCTTTACGGTTGAAGAGTGCGAGCTTGATAAAAGATTGGGAGGAGTCTCTAGCCAAACTGCAGAAAATTCAGGTCATAGACATTGGTTGGTTTATATATAAAGAAGAAGGTGATGCCAGCTACTGCCGAGAAGGCTATGTCCCCCCTCGCCAACTCCGTGTTCTGCATATGCAGTACAAGCAACCTGGGCTGCCTATAAAGATTAGTCCATCTCTCAACCAAACATCTCCCACTTATCATTACAAGTGAATGCTCTAGATGTGGAGATCTTTGGAAGGTTCCCAGAGCTCGTTACTCTCCAGCTGGATGTGAATACTTATCACTATGATGTCACGGGAGCTCCAGGTGCATTCCCCAAGTTGAGAGCTTTCAAGACGGATGGAACGCCCCGTTTCCTTGGAGTAATGCCAAACCTTGAATATCTCGAGTTCGTCGTCTCAGTTATGGACCTCAACACTAAACCTGACTTTGGTAGCTTGGTGAATCTCCCTATGCTTCAGAGAGTCGTATTCTAGTATGGTACAACTTCAATGAATTCGATTCAGAGAAGGCTAAGGATGTGGTGAGGGAGGCAATCTTTTCCGGCCCCAGCGGTTTCACATTTGAACTGAAGACGTACTAAGCAAGATAGCTTGGGGTAAGTACCTCTTCTCCATGGGAAGCACATGGTTATTTCTGTCTCAGGCTGAACTAATGTGTAATATCTTCTCTCTCTCTCTCTCTCTCTCTCTCTCTCTCTCTCTCTAGATATATACATTCTGTGACCATTATTCCTTCATATATGTAGGTTGGCAGTGTTAGCAAATCATCGCAAAGAAGAAAAAAAAAGGCCGCAAGCGACTTGTGCAGCAAATGTTAGCAGCTGGAATATCACATAGCTAGTCATTGGCTCACCGAAAAAACCAACAAAAAGTTTCCTGTTTTAGTTGTAGTATTTTAGTGCCATGTTGCCTTATTCACTCTCGAGAAAAAAAAAGTTCTACAAAAAAAAAGGTTTCAAATACACGAAGGGATGTTTCATCCTTAACTATGTCGCTTGGCTATCTATTTGAAAAAATCCTAGTTTTTGCCCCAAAAGACACATATAATATATATGTTGTCTTCTGTAGGAAGGAAAAAAAAAGGAAAACAACAAAAAAAATGTCTATTTTCTTTACAGCAAAGGAAAAAAGAAAACCATAAAACAAAGTCTGTTCACTTTGTGGCTTGCGTGGTGTTTTGCTTACTTGTTTATTCATGAAAAGAAAAGCACAAAAAAAGGTCTTGGAGTATTGCAACCATTTGCTTTGTGTGTATGTGCATGTGTGTCTTGTTCTTTGGTTTTGGGGGGTTCGATGTTTATAGAGGGGGGCGGGGGTGTAACTCCGCCTATGTTAACATGATGTTATGCTTCATGTTGCATAGCCGGTCCCAAGCCCGGAAAAGGAGGAGGGGCCAAACTCTACTTATTATGAAATGGTGTGACCCTTTTTTGTAGCCTTTGCTCTTTATTTTCTTAATCAGGTATGTAACATTCTAGTTTGGTATATAAAGTTCTTCAAGTTTGTCTACTTTGGAAACTCTCAAGGGCTTATTTATAAATGAATCATTCCCCAAGGAATGAGTATGGGCATATTTTCTTTGTAGGTTTTCTCTACCACACAAAATTTGTTCATATCTTGGAGAGAGCATCTCAACCGGGCAAATTTTTGGTATGTGCAGTACTCTCAGGGGAAAAAACCTTGTATCGTCATCTACTAGAAAATTAACTTTATGATCATTTCTCCCTCCAAAAGGCTTTATGAGAGGTTAGCTGCAAGCTACATATTTCATCTAGCAATTGCCTCCTTTCTTTGCAGAACCAGAGCATGCATGCATGCCGCAGGTTTCAGTTCCCTCCTTTCCAGGCACTACTTCTATGGAAGTGGAATGAAATGTCTATGTTGCTTCCTTCTCGGGCCCTCTGGCTGCCTTTCCTTTTTTCCTTTTGAGTTTCATTTCCATTATGGTTATTTTTTTTTCAAGTGTGCAGTTATAGATGTAATCCAGTTTGCCGATGCGAACTGGTTGCCATACCCAGCTCAGAGATCTAATAGGCAAAAGAACTGTCAGGTATGCCATGTTCACTTTCATCAGAGATACATGCGGGCAGTTTATGTACGAGACTTGTGCACCAGAAACAGTCTGACAGCCAACTGTCCATAGCTCCCATCCCAGTGCAGCTCGATTTACAACTTCTTTTGGACTATGAGCATATCTCGCCAGCAGAGTTGTAGGAACCAAGTAAAGAGTAAAGGTTCTGTGATGGAGAATGCTCCTGAAAGTGGAAGGGCTTGTCTGGGCAGAGTTCTAGTAACCAAGTAAAGGGATCCTGTGAAGGAGGATCATCCTGTAACTCTTGGCTTGTCTAACAGTTACGATTCACATTCTGCAGGGTGATGAAAACTGGTTGCAAATTGGGTTTCATTCCTACAGCAGAATGACGGTATAGTAAAATGTGATAGCTGATAGGAGTTTCTACTGATTTTGGTGGGCACCGGAGAAGTTGAAGGAAAAATACTCTTTTGAATTCCTAAAAAGAATGAGAAAAACACTTCTAAATTTCCAAGTAAATTGCTAGCAGCCATCGGAGCCGCTTGTGGAGGTGCATCGGTGTCCAGTTCAGTTCTCCTGTCACCTTTTGGGCTGTGATCATTGCTGTGGCCTCACTATTTTCCTGCTGTGACCTCCTCTTCAGCACTGTCACAAATGTGCAATACAAACTCTGTTTGAACGAGGTTTGGAATGCTGACACAGTAGGTACAGTTAGAAGGCGTCCACACAAAATTCCAGCAGCTGGCTAGCCATGCTCATCATATTCTGTAACAAAAAGATAGGGATGTGTAAAGAGCAGTTCAGGTACAAGAAATTTCATATGAATATGACAACTTCTGTCTGGTGTACTCTGGTTGTGGTCGTCATGAAACCACTAATTGAGAGTTTCATTTCCTTGTAGATTGAAATGCCTATCGAAAATCTTTAGAACAAATGCCTATGGACAAAGCTGTGGAGACGCTGCTGCGGTTGGGTCTGGCGATTGAGCTGCCAACCAATGACAGCATGTCCTCTGTAATAGTTCTTCCATGTTCAAATGCATACGAGATTCTCAAAAGCCGTCGGAAATTCTTAGCATAGCTCTCAGCAGAGTTGTAGTAACTAAGTAAAGAGTAAAACATTTTTATGGGGAGATTTATGCTGTATGTTTTGCATGGTGATGAAACTTGTAAATTTAAAATTGAGTTTCACCCATGCTACGGATTGACGGTATAGTCAAGTGTAGTGTGATATCTCATAGGAGCCACTGCTTATTTTGCGTGATCTCTCCAAGGTGTACACCGGAGAAGTCGAAGGAAAAGTACTCTTATGAAATATTTTTAAAAGAGAAAGATACTTCTGAGTTCCCAACCTTGAGGCAATGAATAAATTATATAGCAGACATCCTGAGAGTAGTTTTGTATCAATAACTGAGCTTGATTTGTGTTTGGCTGATGAGGCAATAAAAGCTATACTGTCATGAGTGCTTTGTGCCTTTGTTAAATAGTACTAGACGGTAATATGCGATTTTACCGTACAGTTTGAGTGCATACATAATCCTGTGCTGCTGCCATATTAGTAGCACTTCCTCCTGTCATTTCGGGCGATCAGTAACATGTTGCTACTTGAGACGATAACCGGCCAACTGATGCGCGTGTCCTGTCCCTCTTGTTGTTCTCGTGCTGCTTGTGAGGCTTACCTAGAGGAGGAGATGCCGTTAATTCGGTGGGTCAATCTCTTGGGCGCAGGGCATGCATCTTTGTGAAGGCACAAGGCAGTGGACAAGATGGACAATCAGAACTGATACAGACTGCAATTGTGTTTGCCTGTAGCTCTGCTTCCACTGCTCTGCTCTGCCTTCTGAAGTCTGAATATTTGGTGGTAGTTATCTTCCTCTGCTTTTGCTCTGTTTTCTAGACTCTCAACATTTGGCTGTAGTTAGCTTGAGGTTTGAGGCGTCAGGTCGACTCGACTTGGGACCTGACACACAATCTTTCTCCTTCAATTCTGACCACTAATGGCGGATAGAGATGCTGCCTGCCGACATCACGCTAGTGGCGTCTGGTACCTATCTACCCTCTTTCTTTTAACAAGAGACGAGGATAATACACACTAGACTGTGTGATAATTGATCTACGGCATCAAAAACCCTAGCTACCTAGGTACATACCAAACACTTACCGATCAAGACGCGACGGTTCCTCTCCAGCTTGCGCCGGGCAACCTCCACCGCCACCGCCGCCTCTCCGGCACCACTCCCCACATCCAGCTTGATCGATCATGAACACTAGGTACACCAAGCTAGAGCTGGAGAAACCAAGCAAGCAAGCAAGCCATCCAGTGCTGATTGGTTGACAATCACACACCAATCCAATCCGACCAATATTTCAAGGGAATGATCTGTGTAGTTGGTTTCTAAAATTTACTGCAGAGGTTGGAAATTTGATGCCTGTCTGTCATAGTTGCTGCTTTAATTTGGAAGTAATATGGATAGCTAAAATAATATTGTCTTCAAAAACATGTTTCCTAGTGCTAAAGGTTTTGCAGAAACGAGGCCTACAAAACAAACAT